TTCGTCACAATTGACAATATCTTGCACCAATTTATTAAATACATCTAGATTGTCGTCGAGATCCTTTGAAGGATCCATTTTAAAGCTGAAGAATCGTTCGAGTAGGTAGAGTTTATTTGGTGTAGATTTAAGCAAGTATAAGTCTTCTAGTCTTTTCCAAAGTTCTTTGGTGGTTTTTAGTTTTCCCACTTTTCTTAAGACGGCGTCAGACAAGTGTAATATTATTGAGGTATAGGCAAGCTCATCGGCTTCCTCTTTTTGTTCTTTTGAGATATCAGGTGCAAAATTGCCTTCGATGGCTTTTGACACCTTTTGTTGGACTAGTATGCCTCTCATCTTTTGTTGCCAGATAGAGAAGTCCCCTTTACCGTTAAAAATTCCCAAATCAAAATTATGTGTTGTCATTGGTTAACACCCTAATTAAACCACACGAAGTAGTATTGGGAAACGTGATAAGGTAATGTCTTGTTAATTATTAGCAAAGGTAATAATGAACCTAAACGCTACGTCCACCAAGGAATAACAAGCACTTTAAATTAAAAGAACAAATACTTAATTAACGCAAGTAATCCTAATTCTAGCACATGCAATGGTTACCCCTTCACGGTAACCCCAAAACCTAACGATCACCCCACACGATGATCTTGCTATTGCTGAATTTAAATGGATTAAGCCAATTTACCAGAGCGGACCTATCTGAGTCCGTAAAGTGGAGAAAAACGAGCTTGCTGTTGAATTTCAATCGGCGTCGTACCAAAGGGCAAAATCGTCCAACTTTTTCTGTGTAACCTGAAACACAAAACAAAGTATATCAGCGCGTTCAGGAGATCGAAACAAACAAGTTACCTGAAGACTGCGTCGCCGGAAAACCGCCCACGCGCCGCCTGTCCCGGAGCGCCTCGGCCTGCTGATGATGGGTATGGCCTCCGTTTGTCCAACCGAGCTCTGGTTTGTGAGTAATTGCAAAATTTCAGATTCGGATTCTAAGTTGATGATGCGAAAATCAGCCGATTTTGAGCCCTTTTTTTGCCACCCAAGCTCTGATACCAGATGTTAGGACCTTCCTCTTCGTGCTCACGCTGATTCCCGGGCTCAGTTAACCATTAAAACCGATTTCAACATCAAAACTGGAAGAACCACCCGCCGGCGCCTCTTCTTCCTATGGTTGCTTTCTTCTCTTGCTTGGTTGATTCAATCCACACACTTAGGATGGATACCACTTAGGTAAGGTTCACAAAGACTCAAGCAATTTGGGTGGAGAAGAAATCACGAAGAAGATGAAGACAGAAGACACGGCTTGGACACGGCTTGGACACGGCAGTTTCTTCAACTCACGGGTTCAACTTTTGGACGGTACCAACAAAGGCAAAGACACCAATATATATAGTAAGTCAAGTGGCCAACATAAGGTAAGTCGGGATATGGTAAGTAGGCTCGACTAGGGTTAACTTCCAATGGAAGAAATCAACAAGCCACAAAGAATATTAGCCGTCCAATAGGTAAGGCAACGTTTGGTCGGTTCATCCATTATTCGATGTTGAATTATCGTTCAGTCATTTATGTCGACTGATAAAATTGGTTCTCATCATCGCCCGGGGGTCGTTTGACAACATAATGTCTAACATATTGTACTAATAATAATTTTAAAAGTTACTCGAACAAAAGTTACGTTTCTAGCAAAGAAATTTAAACCAAAGTCAAACATGCTCTAAACTTATTTTGGGTGATCCAAAGATTTGAGCAACAAATCCAAGAGATCTGCACGCTAGCATAAGTGGCCATGATTTCCTTCCTCGTTTTGCTTGGTGTAATCAGTTTGGTTTTCTTTCCGTGAGAAGACTGCTAACAGTGGAAGAGGTCAACATTTCAAACTCATTACATTAATGTTCTTTTGACTGATTCTTCATTCATTTGAAGCCATTGAAATGTATGACAATGATTCTGTTGCTATCAAACAGTAATAATGTATACCCACACGATCATCTTTTTCAAACAGCATGCCTATTAACCTTGACTTTGGATGCTAGGTTCATGCTAGGAGGAAAACTTGAACACTTTTGCCTGGTTTAAGTCACCATATTGTATCATTTTTATTTTTTTCAGTAATCGGGTTTTGTTAGGGAAGTAGAATTAGCCATAGAAACGTGAGGTTTCTGAACCTATTGAGATTAGCTGAGAATTTATCTATTCGGATATTGCTAGTCATTAGGAAGAGCATGGCGGCTACTGATAATTAAAAATCACACATAATATGTTCAAACCTATATGCTGACATAATTGCAACTGGCGATGACAGAACACATTTTAATATAGAGTTCCTAACTTTATAGCTTTAAATTTGATTCCGCAGAAGAATTTGTATAAAAGGATTTGGCAGACTAGGAATTTAACCTTAAAAGTACTTTTGCCAGATAAGTTTTGGCACTGTACGCAAGGCGATAGTGAGTGGCAAGAAAAATAGAGGATTTCATCATCCTGATCACGACCTCAACCCTATGGGACATATGAGTTTAAGATACTGTAATTTCTTTACAAGTGATAAAGCACACTAAGTCGCTAACTTTATATGATTTTCGATTACCATCAGCTTGGAAACTATGGAAGGAAGGAAATCCTATGGATCTTTCAGATGCTCTACTAGTAACTCTGAACTCATAATCTTAAGTGTTAAGATGTATCCATGTTGACTTGTTGAACGCCCCAAAGATAGACCTTCTATGTCTAGTGCTTTATTAATGTTAGACATCGAGCACCTGGTGGTATCTCAACCTAAACAACCTAGTTTTTACTCGGAAAGATCCCTTCATTAATGGGAAATAAACCTCATACTTCTAATGAAAAGCCTGTAACATTATTACAAGGTTGATAGAATCCTTTTTCTATCATCTTGTGGTAAATTAATCTATATTAATACGGAAGAAATTATTGCTTTAGCTGAGTAAACAAGAAGTTCCGCTTCTGTATTGCTGTTGTTAGTCTATTGCTATCGTATGATTGGAATGCATAGAGAAGAAATAAAAGTCACATTATTTAACCAAGTTTTTGCTAAATCCCTTATGTCCAACGCAACATATATTTATTCCGTAAATCAAATCTATATATTGGTCCACTAGTGACTGTGAATTTAAGAGTCTTTAAGTAAATGGTCCACTTCACCTAAAATGGCCGCGAATTAACTCAAATTAGAGAAACGACAGGATTTCATTTTCGCTTGTGCCTCTTAAAATTAATGATCCATTTGGTTAAGTAATTTACAGCTGTTGTGCCCTTTATCAAGAAAATCATGTACACAAAGTAAAAATCACAAGCTGCTATCACAAGAAATTCATTTTAAATAAGCCCGTGAATTTGACCTTAAGGCTGTAGGTTTTCTGGGACAGCCATTTTTCTTCTTTCCATCGATAACGCTGCCCATGAAATTGTAAGGTGGTGATAAATTTATCTTTCTCTAGTGGTTTAAATAATTCCCAATTTCCAAACTTAAGATAAATTATAAATGAGTTTGAATTTTCTAACCCCAAACATAGAGAAGAAAGAAAATATGAAAACTGAAAAGACAAGCTTTGTGACATCTGAAACTAATATGAATGGCTGAAACCCAGCTAATGTCAAATGTGTGGTTAAGATCATGAAGAGGACATCCAATAAATGTTTTTAATACTGATTAACGCATGATAGAAGCCAAGCCCCAACGTTCTTACTTCTTACTTCTTACTTCGAGGCCACGGATTAAATCTTTATACCTCCACCGTCAAAGGGAAATTATAGAAACAAACCATGTATCATCTGAAGGAAATCTTGACATACTTTCTACTGTTTCTTTTTCGGAACTGCTGTTCCACCGATATAATAGGGCCAAACCAGACTCTGAAAGATGGAAATATATTGGTCTCAAGTGGAAAAGCCTTTGTTCTTGGCTTCTTCGGCCCTGAAAAATCCAGCAATCGATATGTTGGGATTTGGTATAACAAAGTTCCAGAACAAACAGTTGTATGGGTTGCTAATCGCGACAATCCCATTAAGGGGACCTCCGGAGTTCTTGCAATCGACACTGCCGGAAATCTTGTTTTGTTCGATGGAAATCACAATTTTTCTGTCTGGTCAACTAATGTGACATCAATGACTCTGAAAAAGTCACCTTCAGCTCAGCTCATGGAGACAGGAAATTTTGTTCTGTTTCAAGATCAAAGCAAAAGTGTTATTACATGGCAAAGCTTTGATTATCCTACCAATACTTTATTACCTAACATGAAAGCAGGGTGGAACCGAAGGACTGGATTGAACACATCTTTGTCATCCTGGAAATCTTTTGATGATCCTGGAACTGGTGACACTGTGTTCAAAATGGAGCTTACAGGCACGCCCCAGTTTTATTTGTTGATGGGTACAAAAAGGTTATGGCGAACCGGACCCTGGAATGGGCTTGGATGGAGTGGTGTGCCAGAAATGGTTTCAAATTTCATCTTCAAAATTCTTTATGTTGAAAATGACAATGAAGTGACTATATCATATTCTATAAAAGATCCATCAATCTTTTCAAGAATGGTGGTAAATGAATCTGGGACTCTGGAACGTCTTACTTGGCAAGGAAGTGAGCGTGGATGGGTGAGATTTTGGTACGTACCCACCGATCCATGTGATAGTTATGCACACTGTGGAGCATTCAGCAACTGTGACCTATTCAATTTGAGTGAGTTTGAATGTTCATGCCTTCCAGGATTTGAGCCCAAGCTAGAACGTCAATGGTACCTACGAGATGCATCAAATGGATGTAAAAGAAAGCAAGGAGAAAATATTTGTGGAAATGGAGACGGATTTAAGAAGGTGATAAATGCGAAAGTCCCCGACACTTCAATTGCACATGTGAATAAGAGTTTAGAACTGAAAGAATGTCAAGAGTTGTGCCTAAAGAACTGTTCATGCACAGCATTTGCAACTGCTAATATCAGTGGAGGAAATGGTTGCATCTCTTGGCACGGAAACCTGGCAGATATCAGGCAATTCTCAAACAAGGGCCAGGATTTGTACATCAGAGTTCCGGCTGTGGAGATAGGTATTCACTATACATTATCTAAGTTGAGTCTAATATTGACAAAAACAGACATATCTATTGAAAAGCACAAATACGGGTAACAGGATTTTACACTTCGCACTGCAGAAAGATCACCCAAGTTATGACAATTTCGAGTAATTTTTGCTCCCAGCAACAAATAAATATGGTTAAAACTAGTGTAATTTGAATCCCTAGAAATGATTATTTACGTTATACATTCTTGGAAATTCAAAAAGAGTGACTACAATGAGATTTTCAAATCTCCAAAGATTGCCAATTTTTACTTTTATTTTTTCAAAAAGATTCCAAATAAATTAAAAGCAATTTAAATCTTTCCGATCAATATAAGTCCTCTATTTTCAGCTCAGGATACAAGGAACTCAAAAGGCTTTCGTGGGAAGAGATTGATGGCAACTGTGATAGTGTTAATTTTAGCAATGCTTCTCATACTCTTCTTAGCATACTGGTTGTTGAAGAAGAAGAGAAAAGGTAAGAAACAGCTCCTCTTTTATCTTACCCGCCATCTTGATAGAAATTATCATACCTGTTCGATAAAAAGAATTTGTGAAATTTAAAGAGCCTCTTTTGCTCTGTTTAATCTATCTACCTTCAAGTTTCCAAGCCATCAGGTAAAAGTTCATTTTTCATGTGGATCATTCACCTGAACAAACAATATTGAGATCTTACGGCAAGATGCCAGCCATTAATATATGATTATCGGCCTTCCTTGTTGACAGGTACAGAAGGACAGATAAAGCGTCCATTTAGCTTTAACACGGGTTTAGCATCCTATGGCGGTAGGGCAGAGGAGATGGAAGGTACTGGGACAAATGTTGAAGTGTCAATCTTTGATCTGAGCACCATTGTTTCAGCCACTGAAGATTTTTCTCTGGCTAACAAACTTGGAGAAGGTGGCTTTGGTGCAGTTTACAAGGTATATTCTCTCAGTAATTGAACAGTCTATTCCTCTGGCCATAGTTCCTTGATTATTCCGTTATGGATTTTTATGGCATTTGAAGGATGTATAACTTGGTAGTTTTAGTATTAGTTATAGATTTATTAGGCCGAAATATGTCAAACTTTTCCATTAACAGTGAAATATTGAACCATGAATATGACTGTAGGGTCGGCTTCCCAATGGGCAAGAGATAGCTGTCAAAAGACTGTCAGCAATATCTGGACAAGGGAATGAAGAATTCAAAAATGAAATCACACTGATTGCAAGACTCCAGCACAGAAATCTTGTGAGACTTTTGGGATGTTGCATTCAACAAGATGAGAAGATGTTAGTATACGAGTACCTTCCAAACAAAGGCTTAGACTACTTTATCTTTGGTATGCCTATTTCTTAATTTGCATATCATAGCAGCATTTGAGCTCATGCGGCCTATGTGTTTCAATACCTCACAGATGAATTTTTGAATTTTTAACTTTTAGACTGGAAAGTTTGATCTTAAACTGCCAAACATATTACTCATGCATAAACTTAAAATTCTACTGGCTCAGATGAAGCAAGAAGATCACTTATGGACTGGAGTAAACGATTCGAAATCATCTTGGGAATTACGAGAGGGATGATATATCTCCATGAAGACTCCAGACTAAGAATTATTCACAGGGATTTGAAAGCTAGCAACATCTTACTAGACACGTCCATGAATCCCAAAATATCAGATTTTGGTCTGGCAAGGATTTTCGGAGTAGACCAAGCTCAAGCAAACACAAATAGAGTAGTTGGAACCTAGTAAGTAATACTAATGCAACTATTTTTGCAGACAAATTACAGAGAACAACGAATTAAAGGAAGAGAAATGTCCAAAACTGATTGGTGAATATACAATCGAGTCTTGACTTATTTGATTGTCTGATTGCAGTGGTTATATGTCACCAGAATATGCAATGGAAGGGCTATTCTCAGTAAAGTCTGATGTTTACAGTTTTGGGGTTTTGCTGTTGGAAATCATCTGTGGCAGGAAGAATAGCAGTTATTTTGAAGAGGATACGGTGAATTTAATTGGATATGTAAGCATTTGGATCTTTAATATCTAAACAGAAATCATTATTTTGTTGTCAAGTTATGCTCCAAAAAATTCTTTGGGCTTGAGAGAAGGATGAAACGTTGATTGGAGTTAAAGAGAGAGTCAAATTATTGAAGTACAGTACAACTGATTTTCATCACTTTGTTTCAGGTTTGGGACCTGTGGAGAGAAGAGAAAGCATTGGATTTAGTAGATTCATCACTTGACAACTCTTACGATGCCAACAAAGTTTTGAGGTGCATTCACGTTGGTCTTTTGTGTTTGCAAGAATATGCTCCTGATCGGCCAACAATGTCAGAAGTACTTTTCATGTTATGCAACGAAACAACTCTTCCTTATCCCAAAAAACCTGCATTCATCTTCAAGAAAGACAACACTCTTCTATACTCATCATCAGCTAGTGTAGAAAATAGATCTGTTAATGAAATGTCAATTACTGTGATTGAAGCTCGCTAAAAGGCTTCCTCTAAATACTTAGTTTTCAGTTCAAGGGGGTGCATATTAGCACAAAAAAAAAAAAGAGAGACAAAAATAAAATAAAAATTTGTAGCAGTTTAGATTTTCTTTGATGTAGCACTATTGATGCATAGAATTGATGTATAACATTCACTACATGTTATAGCTTACCCCGTTTTGTGCTTACAACTTATATTTACTTTTCTCCGTCATATGTCCATCACCTTCATAGCATGATACACTCCAGTTGGCAGTCTTGAAGTTTTCCATTTTTTTTTTCTTTTTTTGGGTAAAATTCGCATTATATAACCTTATAGTTCAAAGGTACCTCTTCCAATACGTGAATTTAGGGTCCGTCTGATTGCAAAGATGTAATTGAATTGAATTGAAAACCAATTCCAGGGAATTGAATTACCTAGAAATTATTTTCCCGGGAATTGTAAATTAATTGCGTTTGATTGGTATAATTTTTCACGTAGAAAATGTTGAAATAAAAGTGTCTTTTGGGGTTCGTTTAACTTTTTTTTACATGAAAATTGTCAATTAAAAGGGATAAATTTTATTGGTATTGAGGAAGAAATTTGTTTCCATTGAAAAAACAAATAAAAATTTGAGAAATTCAAGAAAATCATATATCTTTTGGTGTTCGTTTAACTTTGTTTTACATGAAAATTATCAATTAAAGGGAATTATTTTTTTAGAATAATTCTTAAATTTTGTTTCCATTGCCAACAAAAAAACAAAATTCGAAAAAAAAAATATATAGCTACAGTGGAATGTGGTGGGAATTCGAATTCCATGAAAACATGGAAAATTGCTAGTTTCCGAGAAAAACAAGAAAGCAAATTCCTTGGAAAAAATGCCTGTCAAACACCCTAAAAGATGGAAAATGGAATTGATTCCATGGAAAACTTGGTACAATCAAACAGGCCTTACTGTAATTGAAATTTTTAGGAATTTCCACATTCGGACATAAATGGGCTGGTTTTTCTGAACTGCCAAAGTGCCTTTCACTTTCTTATTCCTTTGCTTGACACAAATGTAATAGTTCTGTATTAAAAAGGTCTTCCTCGTACACTCTAAAGCTCTTTACCATAAAAAGGTTTCGATACTTAGGAATTATATGAATTAAGTTGTTGCAGTCACATATCTAATGCTCTAATTATTCGCCAAACAAACACATTACGTTAACGGAACACAATATTTGTACATCGAATTTTAACTATCTATTGCCAGGAAAACAAGAAATAATGCCGTGGAGAAACATCAACCAGGAACTTGTATGTGTAGACTATAGACTCTGGCATTTATGTCAGTTTCTAGAATTACAAAGACCAGTGCAGCAGTTTAATTGGTAAATGTAGCATGCTAATAGGGATGGTTTGGAAAATTACTATAGCATTTTGCCGATCACTTGGACTGCAACAACTGAATAATAAAATTCTCTGAAGAACATTGACGGGCATGAAAATCTTACCACTGATATTGGTAGGGCACCCTTCCGTGAAACAATTCAGCTGATTGGGGGCCAGCACTGCTCTGTTCTTCTTTGGCTGGTAATTATGGGAGTGTTTGATAGGCATTTTTATGTAAAAATGCATTTTAGAATAGTAAATTGATGTTAAACGTGTGGTTGAGAAATAAGGAAAAAGTTTTTGATTTAGGTATAATATTATTTTAATAAAGAATGTGTGGTTGAAAAGAAGATAGAGAAAAATGCATTTTGAAAAAAATGACTACCAAACGGAGCCTATACAAAGGGGAATTTTCAAGGATGGCCAATTACATGCTTGTAATTAAAACATGTCCAATTTTAATAACTCTCGCAAAAATGATCAAATTTGGTATCAAATTGTCTTTTATACCCTAATGAAAATGAAAAAAATTTTTTAGATGTTTTTTCAATATCTCACAAATTTTTAGGAAATTGATGTAGCTTTCATGAAAAGCTACATTAATAATAAGGTAATACCTAATGGGTAAATGTCCCTCGATATCTATTAGGTAATAACCAATAATTTTGAATAGAATTGAAGATGATGAAGTAGAAAAATCATTAACACAAAAAAATATACATACTCCTAAATGCATAAGAAAATCATATCAATTCATTTTGAGAAATTTAATCTCATCCACAATTCCCCATAGAATGTAAATTTTTTTGAAATCTCATTTTTGTTGATAAGTTTGTATTGAACAGTTGCTATGATATATATGTTTCTTGTACTTCTTCTTAGCATTCGATGCAACTATATGTGGCTTTTGAGATTACATGAGACCAGTCATTTGTGTTGACGAAAGTCATTTGAAAGGAGAGTGTAAGAGAACAATATTGCTTGGGGAATTGTCGATGGGAAAACAAATGCATCATGAGATTGGTTCTTCAATAAGTTAAAAGACATAATGGACAACTCAGAAAGGCTAGTGTTCGTATCAGACAGGAAGAAGAGCATTCAGCGGGCAATATCCAGGTTGTATCCACTTTCTCACATGGTGCTTGCATCTGACAAATTGAAAAAAAATTTGATTGTTGGGTATAGCAGTAGCAATGTCATGTTCTTGTTCAAGCGTGACGCACTAGCATATCGCATACTAGAATTCAAACAATTAATGGGGTAGATTAGAAGCATCCAACCAGCAGTTGCTTCTTATTTATAATGTGCTGGTATATCGTCATGGTCACATGCAAATTTCGGTGAAAATCGGTACAACATTATTATGAACAACAGTGCCAAGTCCCTTAATGCAATCCTTAGGAGGAAACAAAGTTTTCCTATAACATCGTTGGTCGACAACATTAGGTCTTTGATGCAATAGTGGTTTTTCAAGAGGAGAACTGCATCCGCCAAATTCAGAGTGCCTTGACACCAAAGGCGGAGGAGAATTAAGAAAATCGTTTGACGTTGGTACAACATTACAAGTACGTCACTTGGATGAACTCATAATAGAGGTTGGTGAAGGCACAAACATATTCATAGTTGACCGTATAGGCAACACGTGCTCATGTCGAGAGTTCCAAATGTGATAGATACTGTGTGCACATGCATCCCGAGTAGTATGCGCAAAAGAAAATTCACTTTATGATTTGTGTTCCCCGTGGTATACCACTCAGTTCTAGCAAGCTGTATAACGAAGTCATTCATCCAACTGGGATGGAGTCCTATTTGCATCCTTATTGGATTCGTTCCATCCATATTTCATCCCCCAACTATACGTAGACCACTAGGACAACCTCTATCCAATGGAAACGATCAAGACATGAAAGGTCGATGAGCGCACGAAAATGTGGACGGGCGATTGTTATGGACACAGTAGGCAAACATGTAGGAACCTAAGACCATTGACTAATCCTGACACTTGAATGTTTTTTGTATTCATGTTAACATCAAGTTTGTTATTGATGAATAATATACTTTTGCATTTCCACGTTATTTTCACAATTCATTTCAACACTCCGTATTCATTGAAAGAACATTATAAAACATAAATGTCGTGAACTACGATTCACTATACATCCACCTACTACATTTCAAACAACACCAAGGAGAAATCATATCGAGGAGTTCATCAACTACCAAATTACATAAACTTCACCACTTCGTCCACATAAATCATGACAATGATAATGAATTTCTTATTTGAAGTGGTCACAAAATTACGATGTACAACGACATCTATATATCCTCGACAACGGACAGAGAAGATATCTCGCTACCATTGTTTTCTTAAGAGCTTATGATGACGACGTCTCCTATGACATCCAGACTCGATCCTACATTGTCGACCAACTCATCGATGTATTGAATGCCAAACAAAAGATAGTGTTCGTCCAATGGTATTTCGAACATGATGATCTCAGAGTCGGTATTATGATCACTAACTATCGGCTCACTTGGCTCCAAATTAGGAAATGGAATTTGATGAACACTCACTCGGCGGTGACGGTTCCCAGGTTGAGGAATGTAAGGAACAATAGGATACATCTGTTCGTCATCGTCTTTTGTCGAAGACCTGGGCGAGGAGAGGTTCACAGCAAAATCAGCATGTGATATTTCTTCGATTGAATAAGTCATAGTTGAAATAAACTCTTCCTACTTGGAATTTCTTGTGAAGAATTGTGTTTGAACATTGTCTTTCAACTCATATGCGTGCTTATGTAGAGGTGTAAAACATGGTTAATGAGGTGTAATTACATTAGTAGAATATACACCATCTCCGCTCCATGTATTTATAATTGATTGACATTTATTTATTACCAACATGAATTTATAACACATATTTCATTAAAATCATATTGGTAAAAATGTACTTCTACTCTGTTTGTTGTAAGTCTTTTTTAAATTTCATTGTTATCTTGCCACTCTATCGAAAGTTCGAATTTTTTCTTGACGTTTTACCATGACTTGGTCATTTGGAAAGTCGTTATCGACATTTTGACCCTATTTATCTCAACACTTGACAGTTCATGTATTTCTTGACGTTTTATCATGTTTTCCTCATTTGGAAAATGGTTATCAACATTTGGACATTATTTATCTCGACACTTGACAGTTTATGTATCTAGAACGAGATTTTATTTCGTTTTCTCAAGTTCTATACATTTTAGATATTTCTCGACATTTGAAATGATGTTCTTTTCATTAAATACCTGTTATTCTCGTCAACTGACATTTCAGCTATCAAGAATGATAGTTCAAAAATGTGTGCACAATATAAGTCCTAAATAATAAGTATAGACTAAAATAAATACTCGTCTCCAATTTAATTCCACATCAACAATGAGAACTATTCCATCAACCAAACAATCTACCTTGCGATGGTATACAAAATGATGTTATAAATGCTTTCCCAAATGCACAATACCATGCTCTACCAACATTTTGAACTAACTACACACCTTTCTTACGACAATGTGAAAGAAGTCTGAGTGCTAGCACTTGGCAGCTTCACCCCGAGGAATGGAGATCGAGGTGGCAGTAGAGCATTTGTAGAAATAACATCTGCACTTTTTGGACAACTCATCCACGTTTCCAACATCTAGTTAGGTTGCATCAACGTTGATAGCATTTACTTTTGTTGCCTCGACATGCTATTCGTCAATTGTAGTGTTAGAAGACAACAAATCATCATAGTAATCAAGTACATACATATCTCCATCATCGTTAGCACAACCAAATACACCATACTCTTCATGCACATATTGTTTCCCAATTTTTGTAACCACATCCTCGAACTTGCATTTGATCACACTTATCTAATCAGTCACATGCTCCTTCATGTTACACACGTGATCCCCCATTTTCTACTCAATACGATTGAACCTTGCATTTCAGTCAACATGGCTTTATCTCATCTATATACATGGTTCGCGATTTTCCAAGCCATAAGTGGATGGAAAGTCCTAGACTGGATTGCAATGCTCTTCTTCTCTACCTTCAGTATCACTGAAATCCCAAAGATGAATCCCACATGTGTTAGCTCTCCTGGATTTGTTGCATCGGTTGCTATTCTCCCCATTGCGTATCACTTTGCTTTCTAGTAAGCAATCTTGTATTTCAGTTGATTGAAAGACGAGATTGTCGAGAACAGGGTCAGCAACATCGTCCAATAGAAGTAAAGTAGCAAAGTATGACTGAAATTCTTCTTCAGCGGTATGGAGCAAAGTTACCCACAAATGTAACTACAAAGGGTGGAAAGTGTCTTGTCAAAGAAAATTATGATATATGTTGTAAGCGCAAAGACAGTTGTATATGTAAATGCTCACAAGCGTCTTGTCGAAAAAATCTGAATATGTTCTCGATTGAGGTTGTCTTGTGGTAGATCACCACAACAACCTCAAAAGGCCATCACTAATCTTGCTCGTTAATCGAGCTCTCATCTTTGAGATTACCTCGTACACCTACAACTGCAACACATGTATAATAGTGGTTACCATTTACAGACATAAATAACAATGTGCAATGAATATGAATGAAATATATGGACATACCTAAATAGCAAGAGGGAATCCCCACAACGTGTAGGATATCCTAACACAATTGTTAACCTTTGCCAAGTCGCCTTTCTCTCCCATCCACGGAGCAGTGATTTGATAAGAAGTATAAGGCACACTGTCCCCCGTGGGTAGGCATTGAAGAAATCTAATTCGTCTACAATAAAGAGAGTTTCAGGATAAATCCCTATATTTCGGACTCTCGAATTGAAAATTCCTTCAATAGTTAGTACCAACCCAAGCTTGTAATGAGCGTTACAGTTGGCACATTTCACTTCTCAAGATCACTACAAGTTATCCGTTCTCTATTTGGGCCTAAACGTGCTCTTCCTCCTGAATGTTGTATCGGTGTGACAAAGTTATCTACGAATAAAAAAAAAGAATATAACAAATAATATAAGAATCTATTAAGTACATTAAATAACCTAATAAATATATGAAATCACAAAGACAAATAATGTCATCATGTTTTCCAACATTGAAAGGTGTAACCCCGAGTAATTAAATAATGTAGCAATATCTCATTGAATGATATTAATTTAATGTGTATAAGAACGACAACATGAGGAATCTGCATTCTTATATAATTGGACAAAGAAATCAAAAAGGTAACAACGGACAATAAGTATATATAGAAGACAGAGAGTTCACATGTAGGCATTTACATGATAGGGCAAAAATCGTTCAACTCATTTTGGCATCTAGCTAACAGTTAATTTTAATGCAAGACTAAGGATTGTGCCATGCAACTCCATTTTTGCCTTTACACACTTATTTTTGAGATTGCTCGTGTACCTTGAGCATCGTTTAGAAAAATAAGAATTACAACTGCATAAGAAAATGCATAGCATGAGAAGCTCTATGATTCACGAAATTAGCATACAAAGAAGAGCACAAAATCAAGCACTTGCAAACTAAACCAAATATCAGAAAATCAATTTTGGCTTCACAAATCTAAGCACTAGCAAAATGAAACCAAACTGAACCACATATTACACTAAAAAAAATAATACCGAAGAAGAAAACTGTCAAAGTAATATTACAACAGAACTTGAAGCAGAAAGCATCATTCGCTAGCCCCAACCCTCCTTCCCCATAAACTCCATACCTAAAATGGACATCGATCCTATGTATTTCTTAAGTAATTTGAGGTAAAATATTGACAACTTGAATTGCATTATATGATCGTGAATTGTGGGTTCGTCAATTTTATATTTGTTTTAGGTAAAGAAAGGGATAAGTCATGAGGTATTTGTTAACTCGAATGCAACTATAGTATATTCATAAAAACTAACACACAAAACTATATGACATTGGCTTGACAATTATTAATCGTAACACCAACTGGAAATTTCTAAATGACAATGGTTTGAAAATTACACCAATCAGCGCATTGCCAACTATCCAGTTTGGAATTTAAAACGATTACAAACCTTTTAAAAAAGTCACCATGAAATTGACCAAGAGTCAAAGATATTGCCAAAATATAAAATCAAAGAGCAATAATCCAGGATAATTATATGAATAACACTAAAATACCTTCAGACATGTATTCAAGCTCTCAAAGTATGGCAATCTTCATTTTTATTACATGAGAGACGCTAATGATAGTAAGCATAATCAAAGTTCAGGGCTACAAGAATAATTGAATGACTGAAAACATTCTGCACCATGGTAGTAAAGCAGATCAAGACCTTATTTTTGAAAGCTATTCATGTTATAAGCAAGATTCTCATTAAAAGTCAATTGAATCTTGCATGCCTACTCCAATGTTTAGAGTATAACAGAAGTAATAATGAAACAAGAGGAGCGAATGTTTAATGTTCATTCCTTCTTCACATAAAAAAGGGGGAAATGTGATAGGATGAAAAATAGCTATCGGTTGGGCATACTACAATTATTTTAGTTGACACACATCAAAAGTCGACAAGGTATATATTCTCCAATTCCTATTGGGTTCACAGATTTTGTCCTTGGTTTTATTTTGTTCCACTTCTTTCCCTATACATTCTCCTTATTTTCCTTCCCTTTTATGGAAAACAAATAGAGCAAAATGTTTAAAATAGTAAGTTTTCTTCTGTTGGGTGAACTAGCGAAGCCTATAAGAAAGTCAAGAGAAGTAAACACAAAAACCAATTATCGAAAGATGTTTTCAACTCCCAGATTGCATCGTCGAACTTCTCTTAGGTCCTAGGATACCTAACCGGTTCAAAGATTGTAAACTGTAAGGAATCCTTAAATTTGTGAACCCAACAAATTTGCAAACTAAACTTGGGATTTGGAAGTGGAAGTGGGAGTGGGACTCACATTTTCATTAAATATCATTAGTTATTGAGAAATTAAAAGTTCTTGTGATTACAATTCAAGATCTATGAGTAATTGAACAATGAAGAAATATAATATCAAAGATAAGAAGTTAATAAATGTTATGACATACAACCCTTTTTTCACATAATTCACCACAGAATATATAATACGTGATCACTACCAAATTGAGAAGTCTAAGTTAGCTTAGTTGCATCTTTTATTTGATCATCTTCGAACATTCTTTTTTCTTACAGTTAACACAGTAATTAAACAACCAAACATTGCATAAAAATCATTGAACTGTTAATAACCTTAAAGCAGTCAGAAGAAACCCATCACCCTCACTATAAATTATACTAATTTTTGAACACATTAATCAACAATGGAACGCATCAAATAACAAAAAGCCCATGAAAAAAAATTAAAGAAATAACAAAGTTATTGAAAAAAAGTCAAGAACCGACCTTCTATAGCTACCACTTCGACGCCATTCTTGCAAAAATTGGAAGAGATTCACCATTGACTGGATGTGGGAGATCGGCAACCAGCTTGGACAACTGGAAAATGGCGATCGTCGTGAGCGAACTAGGTGGTAAAATTTTAGAGTTGAGAAAGAGAGCAGGGCTTTTAGAATCATGCCTTTTGCTTTCTTCATGGTTCTATGTGTTATAATTTATTTATTTATTTATTTTTTTTGGGGTCGGGTCGAGTGGTTTGTACGAATTTGATAGGCAAACCACAGAAATCTACGGTTTAGATTGGTTTTGTTGACCCACTCTTGGAAGAAGTTAACATTTCATATATGAATTGCCCCTAGGGCACATCTCCAAGTGGTAAAAGGGAAGGGTGGAGAAATCCAGCTTTGCTTGAGGCTGCTGCGTCAAGGGTTCGAATCCTGAAATATGGATTTGGCTCTTGGGTAAGTGCAAGTGTACAAGCAGCCTTCCACCCTGTACCCTTGGAGGCATAACCTGCGATTTACCTCTCTCACGATACTCCAGGATAGGGGTGGTGGGGGACCCTTAAGGTTAGGGTTTAACCTTTTTTTTAACATTTCATATATGAATTGATATTTGTACTTTTTAAATAGGTAGTATAGATTATGTGTCAAATTTCTATTTGCTAACATAATTCATAACTATTATATGAACAATTTTGTTTGGAATGGAATTTGCAATTGTCATTAAGGGTATTTTGGTCTAAATTTTACCAAAATGGGCATCGAACAAATTTTGGACATTTTTGCAAATGACCATGTAAAAGTGGCCAGTTATTGTAATTTCCTCTTATACAAATTATATATAACTCCAATCAAAATTTTAAATGGTGAAAAGATCAAAAAGTGTTGAAAAGCTCGTACATTTCTTGAATCACATTTAAGAAATTATATTAATAAATTGACTATTTCCAAAGATATAATTACTTACTGTCGAATGAAGGAATGCGTTCCTCAAACTTTGCCATGTCCGACAAAGTGAAGGCAGCACACGAAGGGGACAAAAGCTTAAGAAATGCACTACGAGTAGGCGAACCTCCTCCATTCATGCTGTCTCCAAACTGGCAAGTAAAGGCACGTAGACCAATAAATAAATCGTGATCCTTAACCGAATTAGTTATAGATTAACTAATAAGTCGCCACCTTTTGTCATTCTCTCAAAATGATTGAATTACCCCAAAGTTTGAAAAGAAATCTATAAATATCCTTTCACTCATGCAATTTAAATATCTCCCTCTCAAATAACCATTTCATCTATAACTCCGTTTGAATAATGCTATTTGCAGTCGCTCACTGCAGCAGTCGTCCTACGTGACATACTCATGGCAGGTGGTTGGTTATTTGATACATCAATGAATAAAAAAAACTATCATATTAATGCACCAAATAATCACCTGTCATGTGTATGTCACATAGGGCGACTATCGCAGTGAACGGCTACGAATAACATTACTCCTCCAGTTTAGGCATCAAAATTAATAAGATTTAAAGGCTAAAGTCCTGGCTACGTGGGGATTTGTTGATCCGATTTCTTTCATCAATATTTATTCTTACATCTAATTTTGCTTACCTTTGAAACTCATTCATATCAATGATTATCCTACGAAAAGTATTGCCAATAGTCGATACTAATATATTTATTGACAAGTGTAATTTTCCATATTAAAAATATGATGAGGAAATAATAAAAGTTTGATGGAATTATTTTCCTTGCCCCCAAATTATTTTGAAAGTCTAATCTACTAATATCAATGGTACAAAATATATTGGATTAGACATGGTGTTTGCATCCTAGAAATATCGTGATGATCAAGAAAAATATTGGAGTTTAACAATACGCCTTGATTTTTTGTACAAGGGTTCGAATAAGATAATGCCAACTAGGCCAAGGAATGGACAATGCCAGATTAGTGTTCTATTAATGGATTCGAAATTCATCTTTAACAGTAGTTACTATTGAGCCTCAAGATACAATTTGTGAACTCATCTAGTAACTCGCAAAGCGTAACAAGCGAGGAAAATAAAATGAAAGACTCGTACTAAGGAAATGAACTTTCTTTCAACTAGGCTAGCAATTAATAATACTTGGATCTATGAATAAAACGTAATATTCTTAACAAAATTAGTTTAGAGGTAACCAATAAGGAGCTACCATCTGTCTTTCTTGTAAAATAACCGAAATATCCTAAAACTTACGAGAAAATTTATAAATACCTCTTCAATTGAAGAAAAACGCATGCAATTCAATTATCTCCCTCTCAAATAACTATTTCCCTTCTTGCTTTAGTCTGAGCATCAAAAATAGTGAATTTTGGAAGTGAAAATCATAGCTATATGAGTAGAATTTGTTGATTAGACTTCTATTGTCAACAAATTGGCACCATTTGTGAGAATACTTGAACAAAATAGACCACGAAATCTTATGGTATCTGAAGAAAATCATGGGTCATATCGAGGAGAAATCAAAGAAAATAAAATCATCAAAATGGAAGTTAAGAAATGTAGTGGTTGTACATTGATTATTAACTCTAAACATAGAGACAAAGAGAAGAAACTCCGAAGACAAGCTCGTGGGATAAATCTGAAGAAAATGAAACTAATCCTGCTAATAATGCTCTTTACAATGACAATAGTTGCATGTAGGCATCAAAAATCTATGCAGTACATAAAAAACCAACGCAGATGGGGACGTAGAGATAGCCTTGTCAAGGAAAGGTTTCCAAATGAGGTTATCTCACATAATGCGAGAAACAGCAGCCGAAAAAGTCAAAGGGTTGAAAGTCTATTCAATCTCTCGTATAACAGTTTCCAGACGGGGAATATAATGATCAACCTATGAATTCGTAGGAATTGGATGATGATGATGAACATCTAACTTTCTCTATGGAGATCAAGGAAAAACCGATATCGGATAAATTTATTCATCCAATTATGGATAAGTACAGCAACAAAGCAGATTCTATGTAACATTTGTGTAAGTACATGACACAAAAATGGCTGCAGTAAAAAAGTCCTACACTTAAGTGCCAAGGCTTTCATCTTACTTTGGATGGATCTGCTGATCGATGGCCACAGTTAAAACAAGCCTTTCTGGGGACATTTGCAGAAAGCTGGATAGGATAACCCCAGCTATGAAGCTTCATAACATGTAAAGGAGAAAAGTGAGTTTCTTAAGTACTACTTTATGTGTTTTGATGGTGAATTGATCGCTTGCTAAATGATATCGGATGAGAAGGCTCGACACACTTTGTAGAATAGATTACTGATGAAGTCTTCTTTATAGTGCGATGACCTAACAAGAATCTAGCCTCCTACTATCAGCTAGTAAGTTTGATACGACTTAAGATATAATAGAGAACTAAAAGAATGTTGAACAATGGTGAATTCTCAAAGGAAAAGCCTCGACGTATACGTCTAGATTGTCAAACATCAGTGCCCATACCTTAATAACCTCAAAAGCAAAGTACACACCATTTATTATATTCTCTTACAAGTAACAGGTGAAGTACCTTGAAAATGGAAAGGTAAAATTTTGTAAAATATATTTGTTCGTGTGAAACCCGCAAGCGTACGGGATCGTTGTACAAGTAATAAAATTTGTGAGTTAAGAGTATCGTTCCCACGAGAAATAAGGTCTAATATTTAGTGAAGTAACTTTTACTAAATTCGAAGTAATATAAAATCAAAAAAGTTGTGACTTTTATGTTTTCTATGCTAATCTTAAACTAAGAAAGCAAATAAAATATTTATTTAATATGTGAATATTTGTATTGGAATCGTGAATCCCCCTATTGTCATTTAATTCAACTCTTAATTTATAATCTAGTAAATTCATGCATTCAAAACAATTGATAATCCACTTTTATTCAATATTCTTTCTCAAGATATATTAAATCTATGTTTAACACGATCCGATCCTATTCTTAGTCAGAATTCATATGAAAAATATGCATTGATTCGCAGGATTTATCACACATGATTGCACATGCAATATATATTATTCATAACATCTATTGTCCATGTGTTGATTTTACCACGTTTTAGACTTATTGTAAGTATTCCTACACTATAATAAGCAACTTACTATCTAATTGGTGATCAAGCAATTAAATAGTTCAATGAAAATGCAAAACCAATCAAGAAAAAATCATGAAATACTAAATTAATTGTCTTGAATTAAAACAAACAAATGATAGGGTTCATTATTCATCCAATACAATGAAAAACTAGTCTAGTATGTTAATATATAAATTACAGGAAGAATAATAGAAAAATATCACTAGGATCATGAAATAATACAAAAGATGTTGATCTTCATGTCCAAAGTTGAATTCTTCAAAACTTGATGTAATTGAACTTCAATTCCTTGCTATGGCTTGATCTTCTCTCTCAAAATATAGCAATTGGCTCCTTGTTCTTGATGGATTTGATGAAACTATTGTGTATGAAGAGGCAAGAGAGAGACCCTTTCATTGCTACCCATATTTTGTATTTATATGACGAAATCAGGTCAAAATTCACGTCCAAATTGTCTTCCAAAAGAGTTTGAATCAAATAAGGAAAGTTGTCTTCGCGCGCACGTAATTTTATCTCTGCACAGCTTTCAATATTTTGATCATAACTTTCTCTTCTATTGTCCTATTTAGGTGATTCAAATTGAATTGGAAAGCTAGTTAAAAGAGCTACAATTTTTCTACAAATAAAATTTCTCCAATTCAAACGTTCTCCATCCGAAAAAATGGGTCTCAAGTCGACCAAAAATCTTGAAGATATCTTATATGATTTGAAGTCGATTTATGGTAATATTCTAACCATATCCCTTTCCTTTTTGACTCCAATTTGCATTCAATTGACTCCTATCAATCTTCAAAGTATCTTTTGTTGTCCAAATCAACCATTAAATATTTACACTTTGGTCCCTATACTTTGGATTTGTTTCATTTAGCCATTTTCTGTTCTTTTTTCCAATTCTTCTTTGAAACGTGAATTTTTCCTAATAAAAGCAATAAATAACAAATCAGGTACTAATCCGCTCAAAGAATAACAAAATATCATCATTTAGGATTCCAAATAAGTGTAGAAACTACACTCATCAATATTGTAGCAAAAACCATGACACAGATGAGTGCTTCGAGGTA